GGGGGGGGGGGGGGGGGTCAAATTTGTCTCCTCTCGTTTTGTGTCTGTTTAGAACTGTCAGATTACTGAACCTTTCTTCAGTCATTGTTGAGCAGAGCCATATTTATTAATTTTCAAGCCACTGAAAAGGACCTTTCTCATGCTGCGCCTGATTGCTAATGCAGGATTCACTGGTAGAAGTTTGCAGATCATGATCTTCTAAGGTTCCTGTAACTCCTTCATTTTGGCTAGCATGTCATCGACACATGTATCACAACTATTGATCAAAATATAAAATTTACAGTTGGGCCTTTTTAGAATTAAAATGCATCAGAGACCACATCATCAGCCGCTATAATTTGTTTCCAGAAACCGTAGTTCCGTGGAGTAGTCTTCAGGTTTAATGGAGAACCTTCATCAAAAATGACTCCATTCCGCATCGTTGCATATGCTACATAGCCTTGCTGGTTTGAAAATGCAGGAGTCTAAGACTAGGTGCAGTTTTTAAAGACAGGCGTTTTGATCATATTTAGGATCAAATAGACCAATAACAAATTTAGATGCTGGAACATTCTTGTTTCAGCAAAGATACTAATTATATGAAAATGTATATTACTGTGGCACTTTATAAAGAACCTCTATATAATGTAGTCCTTGGTACAACAAACTATTTTTTAACCCCAGTAATAGTAAAATATATGGCTATGTGAAACAGAACCTCACCATCATCCCAACATTGTTGATATGATGGTGAGTTATAAAAAGGAGGTCAAAAATTAGGAAATATTTACTAGGTAAGTAGCACATAATGCAAAATTAAGAAATTTTTTCTCACCTCTGTAATTCTACCAACGACGACATCGCCTACTTCTCCATTGTACCTGTCAGGGGAAAAATACCTTATTTAGGGCATTTCGTGCAGTTGTGATGCATGGAAAATTTCAATATTGTGCTAACCTTGAGACGATAGGAAATTCCAGGGCACAAAATTATCCAAACTACATGTATGACATCACTTCAACAGTCACTGAATTTTGCTGGTACATTATACAACTTCAAAAATTTTTAATAGACATGATATCGTGGGCTTGTATAGACTAAAGGTGTGTTTCCAAAAACAGAAATGGGTCGTCAGATTGATTAAAGTCACTAAGGTTTTTTTTCTTTAGGCCCCCTCAACTGGAGGTGTAACTTGAATGCAACATCTCAATGATAAAACAAATTGCTCTTTGTTGTTGTTTTAGGAAAGGGTCTATTGAAAGAGGTAGAGCTGTTGCGTTCCTTAGAAATTTTATGAGAGCATTACTTTGAGACACCTATATGTACCTTGTTTTAAATGGTCGTACGCAGATAAGCTTGTTCACTCTCTCAACAACTCCAGCAACTGAGGCTATCAATTTATCTCCATCAACATAGGTGCCATGACCCCTAGATCAGTGAGATATAATAAAAATAGATTAGTCTCTTTTCCTTACAGTGTAGCTTCGATTTCCTACCACGATATACACTGTAAATGTATAACTGTGAAAACATTGTGAATGGTTTTGGACAGACGGGTTATGTTTCCCCAACCTCATATATCCAGTATCCTCTGTTATAACATCTCCTGGAGAAACAATGTGTTTCGGCTCTAATCCAACTAAAGATTCGATTTTCTTTCTTTTCTTGGGTAATCTAACATCTACAGACATGCTTTCCGACGAAATGAACCTTCACACGTGAACCTTACAAGCGACCGCCATCTTAAAATTATTGCGCGCGGCCGAAGACTGGCTTGAGCCAATAGGCGTCCTCGTTCGCAAAGAACAGCGGAGAACTTCCATAATTCAACATGGCGGCAGCAGCAAAGCTATTTTTGTTTTGTTTTTAGTTTTTGTAATTGACAATGACATGGATTTTTCCAAGTTTTCCGACGATAATTTTGATGTTAAAGAGTGGGTTAATTCGGCGCTGAGAATCCGTGATGATCGAACCCCAGTTGATGTAAGTTTTATTTACTGTAAATTAATTTAACAGGACAAACTGCAACGTGTCAGCACACAGTAGCTGTCGCCATTAATGACCATTAATAGATCTGCAATCTCCCGCAATTTACAGCTTTATGCTTCTAAATAAATAAAATATAAATACCGCGAATAGGCTTTCTAAAAAACTCATACTCCCCTTATTGTTAGGTAATAATTTATACTTCGAAAGCTCAATAGCTACCCTACTATTTAAAAATGCAGTGCGTATGTATGACATATTTATCAAAAACTGAAGTAATGTATGATTAAATGTCAGAGTTTTGGTTGGCTTAGCAGCCAGAGCATATGAGCCATTGCGCAATACCCAAGAAGAAGTGGTTATTTAATTGTTGTCTGAGAGTTCCTACATAACAGAGATCGGGAAAGACTATCATCAATCTTGCTTTTTTAATGCTTGTTGGAAATTAGTGGATTATTGTTTAGGGAGGAGGGAAGAGGGGTCTTGCTTGTTTTGTTTTTTAACCGCAGCAGGATTAGCTCATTTGGTTGAGCACTTGAGTGCAGAGACTCAGAATCTTAAAATAACTGAGAAATGAAGGCACTGCATGCCTTTTCTCTGCAATGACAATTTCAAATGGTGGTCCCATCTCCAGTAGGAGACCTAAAAGTAGTGTCCCCAAAAGTACTTTCGTGCTAAATACATTGACTCTCAAAGTGCTCCCTGTTTCTTCTGAAATATACCCTCTTGGATGAAAGTGTGTAATTGAAGCTAATATACACACTATGTTATGCAGACTTGACTTCAGTGAATCCTAAACTTTTTGCCGCATACTTCCTGTGAAGTGAGTTAGGCGTATGCTTAATGTACACATTACTGAACATAAATCCCTTGAAATCACCCATTCTTTTTCATATTTGTTTTCCAGACTCATGCATCTAACTTGGTCATGAAGTTACAGCTTTTTATTCAGGTTTGTTTAGAAAAACTACTGGTATGTGCAGTATTTCACATTGATTACCCCCAAATCCTTCATATTTAGAATTTACAGTAATTAGGAGAATTCATCCAAACTTCAAGGCATTATCTATATGCTGGTTGCATCCAGATTAAACATTTGCATCCAGATTAAACATTTCAAGCTAGCAAACTGGTGTTCAGGCGTTGTAAAATTAACAAAATGATAACAACTGGTAATCTTTAATATTATAAGCAGGCCTAGGTCTTTCAATATTTTACAGAAAATACAATGGTCACTGAGATTTTTGAACAATAATATTGTTAAAGGAAGTGGCACTTTTAGGAGCTAAAATTTTGAGGCAGTTTCCAGGGCTGCAGAACCCAGTCTGTGCTTAGAGGAACATGCCTTCATGCTTTTGCATGTAGATTATCTAAAAGTTATTATCTCTTTCATGAGGTTAAATGTGATTTAGGCAACATTAACCTCAAAGCAATGCTGGTCAGCAGTTTTCCCAACAATGTTGGGGCTGGCCCGATGCCTTTAGAAGGGGCACCTCATGACTTGTATATGCAGTTGCTTGCTTGCAGTTCGTCACAAAGTGTCCTTGCTATAGCTTTGTTGCATGCTTGCCATTTTTTGTGCTGACAATATTGCAACGCTGTGTTGCGCTAAAAATCGTCGTTGCGAATCGTCCCGTGTAACATCACCTGAAGCAACGACGACGGCGATTGCTACGAAAACGTCACTTACAAAGCGAAGTCGCGCTGCCTCACACGATACCGCGCTTATTCCATCTCGTTTAATTCGTCAAATGTTGGCAAATTTCTTTGGAGTCGAATTCTAACGGATTGATCAAAGTTTAGGATTTAAAGAAAAAGAAAACTGTTGTTTAGTGTTCCCGTCCTCGACAAAACATGAAATTAGGCACTTTCACGTTGTTGTCGTACAACGACGGCAAAGAAATGTACAAAAGATGCGTGATGCACGTGCAAAGTTGTTCTTTTGTCAATCGAAACCTACTGGTTTTTTTGCCGTTCTTGTTGCTGTCGCCGTCGTCGTTGCTTAAGTTCCCTAATTTTTTATGAAAAGTAACAAAAGAAATTACATTTGTTACATTTAAACCAAGGATAATTGTTTCGACCATGTCCATAAAGTGATTCGTTTCCAAATTTTGCCTTCTTTTTTGTCAAAGACGTTGGTCGGTTGGGGAAAAAAAAGACCGACGAAGCACGCAAACAAGCTCTTCAGATTGTCAAACTAGAACATTCTAAGGAATTCCAGTGACTGTTTAAACACTCGCGTATTAAAGAAAACGATACCAGGATGTGACTTCACTAACTTTTCACCAAAGAAAAAAGTCATGTATGATCACGTCTCTTCTCATAGAAGAAAGGGATGCGGCATCATACCCTTCAACTGACTAAAGGAAATTTATCTTCTTTTCTATTTTTTTTTTAAATCAGTTGGTTGGATGTTGGGAATGGAAACACCTCACAGACATGACTTTGCATGACTTTGTAGACACTTAGAAAGAAGAACGATAAGTTTGATATGTAACCAACCTTTCCATATTTGAGACTGCGGGTATGTAATGAGAGTGACCCATCACTGTACACTGACTGCACTTCTGCCTAAACGTAGTCAAGGAAAACTTACAAAAAGTTGACTTTTCAACCACTTCAATAAAGTCTTCTCAGTTTGTAACAACTGCGTCTGTTCACTTGATGGAATTTGAGAACCAGGGACGGCAACATGTGCGACGCAACCATGGCCCCCATGCAAGGCATTCAGGTACCGAGCACACTGACAAGCAGTAAAAATAGAGGGGTAACGCAACCATGGCCCCCATGCAAGGCATTCAGGTACCGAGCACACTGACAAGCAGTAAAAATAGAGGGGTAGGGGGGAGGAGGAAGACAACCGAACTAAACTGACAATTGAGCAACACAAAATGGCACCAAAGTCTACACATGTAGGGTACTGGGTTTTCATGTCGACAGGTTCCTGTTCTCTCTTCACTATGATCCTTGAAATTCCCATATAAAGCAAATAATTATTGTGTGTGCACAGGAATCCCAGTGGTTCCACCCAGTAGGGTTCCACTGTAACTAAAGATTACAAGCATTTGGTTTAAACAGCTGAGATTATAGTGTCAATGCAACATTCTAAAAAGATTCAATTGGTGGTAAGAGGGTCGGACCGTGTGCAGTGCCTATACTCAGAGCAGGATATTTGTTAGTTCAGGAAAGAGAGTTGGCAGACTTCAAAAGGATACACTTATCAGATCACCCTCTGCAAGAAAGTGGCGCATCATTAACTCATCCTCAGCAGATCGTCTTCTCTGTGAAAAGAGCAGAGTAAAAAGCAATAAATAAATGAAGGTCAACACGCAAAATTTGTGCAGTCTTCTGATCTCCCTATAACTGTATAAATATGAGCTTGTTAGCTTTCAGTTACTATAACCTAGGGGGAGGGGAGGAGGGCAAAATCTGTGGACATGTCTGCAAAATATTTCAACCCTCCCATCACCCCTGCATGCTATAAAATCTAATAGGACATTCAGCATCCTCACCCCCTCCACCCCACCTCTCCAGGCCACAATAAATGAAAGTTCCCTGATATAAAAATATCAGTAGAAAAGATAAAGGCATACAGTTACATGTAATTTGAAATCCCGACAAGATGAGTAACCCATCAGCCGGGTCACCCTTTTTTGATGGTACTGTCACTCTCCTAGCCTGGCAACTTTCTGCACATAACCTGTGGCTTGCCCAGCTGGGTTAACTCAGTCAAGGCAAGACAATAAGAGCACGCGTGAGCGCTGTTTAAGAAAATCAAAGCATGCATGAGTGCTATTGGCTCAGGCAAAGGAGTTAACTTTTTTCTCATATAAACTCTCAGTGAAGTTGACGCGGCTGGGGGGGGGGGGGGGGGGGGGGGGGGGGCCCCTTCTACTCAACAAGTACGGAAGGAGACAGCTCTACACCCACGCA